AGTACTCCATCTGGGAGTAAAAAATAAATTTTGTTCTATTTGTTTAGCAAATAAACAAATTGAACATAAATGTTTTAAAAATTATACAGGGACGTCAACAGCAATGGAATCTACAATTTAATTGGAAGGATTTAAATCAAGTGAAAAAGTACACGGTATTCGATATGCAAAAATAATTGCAGATGGCGATAGTAGCACATACAAAAAAATTTTTTCCTACGACCACTTAGGAAAGTGACACATATCACACTATATAGACCTATGGAAAGTGCCCTATATCACACGCGTATGAATAAGAATTTACTTTCCACCCAAGTGAGAATATGCTACTTTCCGCAGTAGCTGTCAGAAAATGTCAAACACATAATTTCTATTTTGATCTATGTAATGTCCATATTAATACTAAAATCGATATGATTGTTAAATTATTGTAAATTAGATCCTAGATATTTATCTTTAACAATTATTTTTAAAATAATTTTAAAATAACTAAGATATATTTGCTTTTTATTCTGGTTAAACACATAAGCGATTAGATCAATCAATTACCGTAAGGCCTGTTAGCTCAGTTGGTTAGAGCATCAACTTCGCAATTTGAGACCGTCCAACGACCGCGATCGAATCCTGGCTGTGCCAGAATTTTTTTTTTATTTTTTTTTAATTTTTTTTTATTTGTTTAGAAATTATGAAAATTTAATAAATACGATTATTGTTGATTATTTTTTTAAATACATTTTAATTATTATAATAATCTGGTTTTACATTTTTTGATGAAATTATTTTGTGGTCGTAGGAAAAATATTGTACATCACTTGTGTGAAAAATGTCACTTTCCACACTCGTAATGTAATATACTATAGATCACAGACCGTATGATGATCTGACCGTAGAAAAAATAGAATGCAGAAATCATCTTCTGAGCAAACGTTTCTAATAAGTTAAAAACACTTTCACTTGATACGTGCTTTCCAATAAAACTAAGAAAATTAGTTAGTCAAAACATCCCTCGTTTAACAACATCTGTTACGAAGGCATTTTCTTATAGAAAAGAAAATAGTCTTAGCACTATTAATAATGTTTTGCTTTTAAAGAAAGATAGACAATGCAATTTTTCACGTTTTTGGTGATCATAAAACTGCGATATTTATTTTGGTCAGTTGCACACAGATGAAACCAAAAACGAAATAACCAATTTCAGATCTAAACCTGAATTTTTTACAAGGCTTCTACAAATTATACATGCTTTGTCAGATCACAGCAGAAGTCTATTACATGATGTTGATAGTAATATTGTGGAACAATTTCATGCGATAGTCGCTAAGTTTGTAGGTAGTAAAAGAATCAATTATTCCAGAGGGCGCTCTTACCAAAGTAGATGTTTTGCAGCAGTTATATCATATAATTCGAAATCGGGGAATTCAGAATTGAGAAAAACTTAAAACCGTACTAACCAATCCATGTTAGTAACTGAATTGGAAAAAAAAGGCGACAATTGGCAATCAAATCAAAATCAAATCGCAAATTAAAAAAAAGTTATTCTGCAAAAGCCAATAAAACTGATTTAGAATATGGAGAAAATTGTACCAAACAGGATTTAGATCAAGATATTTATGAAGTAAAAAACTTTAATTTTTAAATGAATTCCCTTCATCTGACGTTAAAAGAAATGTAATTCAGGTACAAACTATGTCACAGGCGGATAGCAGGGTTTGGCTTGAAATTCGTAGAAAAATGATTACGGCCTCACACTTTAAAGCAGTGTGTACTAGAGGAATTACTACTTTATGTGAGCTTTTAGTCAAAAGGATTATTTACCAACCACCAGTCAATGCTGCTCCTATTTCTCATGGCAAAAAGTATGAAAAAACGGCACTTTTGCAGCTTCAAGAGCAGGAAAATATAGTGATTAGAGATTGTGGAATTTTTATTGACAAAAAATATCCATATTTAGGTACGTAACGATTAGTTCACATTTTTACTCACATCTCAACTATAACATATTGTAAATTAGTTCATTTTAAAACAAAATAATAATTTTTAAATTTGTAGGTGCTACTCCAGACGGCATTGTAGGAGATGAATTAGTGGTTGAAATAAAATGTTCATACGCTGCATATCAAATGCACATAGAATAGGCGATTAAATTGAAAAAATACCTACCCTTTTGGATTTTTAATGAAGACACCAATAATTTTGACATTAATATCCACCATCAATGGTATTATCAAATACAAAGCCAATTACATATTACAGGACGAAAAGGATGTATTTTTGGTGTATTTCAGGTCCCAATTATCCACTTAAAGTAGAATATATAATATGTAAAAATATGAAGGAGAAGTTAAAAAAGTTTTATATAAACTGTATGTTGCCAGAATTAGTAGATCCAAGGCATAATCGAGGAATGTCATTAAGAGAACCTGATTACATCTTAGAAGCTATTCAAAAATTAAAAAATAAAAAACAAAAATAATTACCTCAAAAAAGTAAAATAACATTAATAGTAAGATGTTTCTACAAAGCCGCTATTTATTCTAAAAGTATTTTCTTTAATATTTTTGATTTTAATCTAGGTACTGTTAAAACGCTATAATACCTATATTTATTTGCAGGTCGTTTGTGACTAATTTATTTGTAGTGCTGTGTCCAATTAAGTTACCAAAAAATAATAACCGATCATTTTAAATACATTTCTTATGCCTACGTTGTAAAAAATAATATCGAGCTGTTTAGTCCTACTCTTCACAAAAACCAAATTAAATTATTTTATAATTTGTGATACATTTACATCATATCTAAAAATAAAAAAATATTTGATGTACAGGTTCCTAATATATTATGTCAATTTTGGCCTTTGTTTGTCCTTCTATAATATTCACTTATTTTAAAAGCAAAAACTCTTAAGATCGTTAACATCAAAAAGAAAAAATATGTATTTATATCTCTAAGTAAGCAACAAAAAAATATGATAACATCATTCAACGGCAGCCATCATGAAATTCGGACCAATCAAAGCCGGATAGTAACAAAACACATCGGCTCTGTTCCCTCAGTTGTTAAAATATTATTTCTATAAGAATATCTTTTTGAGTTTCAGTCAATATATATAGACCGAAATAATTCAGAATTTCATTTTCTTAAACCAATAGCATAAGTTACGAATAAAAGGCATTCGTAAGTATTGTAAAAAATTGCAAATTACTATTATACGTTAAATGATGTAAATTAATGTATTTCATATATTTGTACAAAATAAAATATTAAGTCATCTTCTTGCTTTATTTATTCAATGCTGAAGAGAGGACATCCAAGGAAATATCTTTCTTTAAAAAATTACAGTCTACAAATTATCAGATCACTACAACAGCAGACGGCAACAAAATCAAGAAAAACTTGTAAGTAAACCTATTTTCTCAAAGTTTCATTCACAGATAAGTCAGAAAACATGTAAATTATTAATATATTATGAAACATTTGTTAAATACATTATTTATAAGGCTGATTTATAGATTTTATTATATTAGTAGCTTAGTTGATATTCTTTACAAAGTGAATTATTTTAGAAATTATAATATATACCTACTATAAAAATATAATTCTTCTACCTAATTTTTTCTAATCAAACTATTTTTTAAATATATTGAAACATTGCAAATTCTACTCGTATATTGAAAACAAAATTATTTCATGTAATAGAATTTCCCTCTTCGCACCAACCGAGCAATATTAATTTCAGTTCTATCCTATATGTACCGGCTGGCCAAATTTCAATACTAGGTAGACGAGGAAGACAACAGCACCCATCCTTCGGTACGAACACGCAACGTCTTGAGAGGGGATATCGTAATCACATTTTTCAATCATTTTTATATCCGAAATTAGTTTGCTATTTTAATAATTGCGGTTTTATATTAAGTCCAATTTTAAAAATTATTTTTTGATCCTATTAAGAAAAAGATTTACTACAAGTTGACATTAATCGTTCGAAAAATAATGCATGTTTGATAATGTTAATTCTCTATTAAAAGTTGTCCTTTTTTAAATAAAATTAATAAACTTTATAATTTTTTGTTGACAAAACGGACCATTTTTTCAAAAAAGTATGAAAACCCAGGGCTAGTGCCACTTATTCTCTTTGCACATAAAAAAATATAAGGTATTATCTTTAAAACTGTGTCTTCTAGGATTAAAACAGAATGTCTATTTTTAATACAAATTTCCTGCTATTGTCATCGGAGCAATAACTCTTAAGAAGGATATTCAAACTTGAATTATTTCCACGAGATTCGAATTCCTAGTTTGATAATTATTAAAAACGACAGTTTAAAACGTGCATTTATATTATTTTTAATGAACAATAAATTTTAAAATGTTTATACGTGAAAAAATCAAAATTCCGTTGTCGATAAAACAAAATCATAAAAACTTAAAATCCATATAAAATGCCGGCAGTATCTGCTGTCAAAAGTTCGTAGTTTTTAATTAGTCGGATGATCCAAAACGATTTGGCAACTTTGTATTTATTTTCACCATCCTCTTTCTCCTCTCTTGCCTTTCACGTTGTTTCAAGAATACCAATTTTTTGGGAAAGTGAAAATAAAGTGAATATATTCCCAGGGAGTTTCAGTTTCTCTCGTTTTCAAGCATACGCACACTGAGGTGTAAAGTGAATCGTTTGGAAATCAGAAATAATTTTAATTTAATAAAAAAAACGATTTAATTCCCAAAAATTTATGGAATTTCATATCAATAACAAATTATTTTATTATGTGTTGGAACTGAGTTCTGTTATTTCCAAACAATGATTGTTGACTTATGTTTGTATTTTCTTAAGAAAGTCGCAACTTTAAAAATATTTAGTGGATTCTTTTCATTGAAAAAAACTATACCATTTTCTACATCGGCGAAAATTATATAAACTACTTAGATTTGACCTTTATGGATGTCAACATATAACAAAAAATACTAAATCATAAAGTTCAAAAGCGGTATGTACTTACCAACTGAGAATACCTTATTGATTTGATTTGATTTTCAATTACATTTTTTGTCCTAAAATTACATAGTAATTAGATATAGTATGAATATATTTTTTTCGTGCTCTTACCTATTTGGCTTTCTAAATTTTAAAGTGAAATTTTGAAAAGATTTCGAAATTCCTTTAGTCATGTTTCTAATGTTTCGGTTTAAGCACTCGTTTAATATACATTAATGTTTATTTTAACTTGTTAGATATTACCTTCCTAAGAAGTATACATTATAGATATACATTCATAAATATATATTTTGAAGGTTATTAGATTATTTTGTTCTAATTAGTTGTATAATAAAACATACTTTAGTAAATAATTATTATACATAGACGGGTAATAAAAAATATTTTTTTAGTCATAATGGAACTTCTGATTTTTTGTCGGAATTTTTAGTACAGATTCTAAAAAATTGTTTCTTCTTTTCATCCATAAGACGTAAAGAAATAGTATCGGGGTACAGGTTTTACAATGCATTGAAACGACTGAACTGAAAACTGAAACAAAAAACGGTTTTCTGTCTGGGGTGATTAGGTAACTGGAGTTAGACGCCATTTATAAAATTAGTAGTACCTACTGCAGCAAGTATTACACTACTGCTGTCAGAGCACTGAATTTCTACCAAACCGCCGCTATTCTTGATGTTCAAAAAGGTTTTGATCAAGTCTGACATACTGGACTAATCAATAAACTTATAAACCTAGGTCTCCCCACCAACATCACCAAACTCATCCACCTACTTCACAGATAGAACTATTACGCTCAAAGTAGTCAACGCTCTGTCTGACCCATTCACTCTCAAGCAAGGCTGTCCTAGCCTCTCCCATATATATACATACCTCATATACACCAACGATCTTCCGCCCCAAACCACCCATCGTCACAATTTTTTCTATATGTCGCTGATACTGCTCTGCTTTCAGAAGCCCAAAATTCTCTCAACCTTAGAATCCGAACAAAAAATCTACTGAACCAGTATATTCGCTAATGTGGAAGATTTAGGGTCTCACTTAATCTTCAAAAAATCCAATTTTTCATCTTTAAATACTCCCACTATTGTAAGTAAAACAGACTACCTGAGGGTGAGATGCAATCACACCCTCAATTGATCCTCTGATATCCAACGCACCCTCGATATAGGATGCGACGGCGAGATGATCTCCTCAGAGGTATATGTGGTCGTTTTGGCCGTTGCAATCCAGAAACGCTCATCCATATTTATAATGCACACATTTATCCCATTGTTGAATATAGAGCAGTACTATATGACACACTTTCCCCTCGCCTAGCCCACAAACTCATCACACTAAAGAGATGCATACCGCATAATCGGACGCTGCCAATATCTACCTTTTCAGTTTTCTAGTACACAAGTCTACGAACACGCTAACAATATCCCCATCTCAGTCCGTTTCCAACAATTACTCAGGAAACAATACGTTTCTCGAACTTTGAATGGTTCCAATACTTCGCCCAACATACCCTGCAAACTCCTTGACCCCGACACCTTTTCCAAAAACCCAAAAGGAAAATACCCCAACCAAACCTTCGACTTCTTACCGACCCCAATCATTAAACCTCCTACTTATCCTGAAATTATTAAGAATCGCGATTTAAGTTTTCGTGGTTTCCTAAAATCTTATATCCCACTTTATTTCTGATTTGCTCCAAAATAATGTTAGAAGTAGGAAAATTGACGAATTTAATTGAAAACACCACCGACGCATAGGTCCCACGCTTTCAAAAATACTAGGAAATTACCTAGCTATGTTATTTATTGTAATCAGGGAACACCACCTTTTTTTTGCGTGGGAGAAAATATCTTTAAAAGACACCAAAACACGTCCCTTTACACCGCAGTCACGCCCCGGAAGCGTAAATAGAAAACCTACTTTAATACATCCCCCATGCAGTGACCAACTAGACTAGGGTTTCTATGCGTTAATCGTGCAGAAAACCTACTTGAATGTATCATCGTATCACCGTATTGGAGTAGGATTGCGCGTTATTACGCTGCCTAAACATGCGGAAATACTACTTCAGTACAACCCGTGTTTTCTTGCGTAAAAAAACATACATGTATTTGCATAGTTTATTAATATTTGTTGTCATACTGTAAATTATTTTTAATATTGTAGGCTATATTATGGGGTTGCATTTTGGCACCTTAACTGAAATAGGTATCGTAGTACGTCCGTGGGAAACGTGACCTAGAATGCTTGAAATCACATACTTTGATTACTATACGAGGCAAGAGAGAGGTCCGACACGCCCAACATAGGGCGCGGCCATTTTGAACCCTGTGACACAGTTTACAGCTAAAGAATCAGATCGCTCACTCTGCGTCGGCACTTTGGATCTCAATGTTTTAGTTTATACACTGTGCAACTCGGATAATACAATATATGACAACCACTTATAATAAAACAGCAGTCTTCTGCGTATCCTGAATTTGTATCCCTGGAGTGAATGTGATTTTGAAACTTTCAACTGGTCCGAGTGTGCTAACTGATTCTTTAGCAATAAACTGTGACTCCAAAAATAATATTCACTGACACTGACAGTAGCAAGCAAAATATCAGGTGCGTTTTAATCATCCGCTTCTGCTTCCGGAATTGTCGGTTCAGTCGTTCTAACCTGTCAGAATAAAACAAGAAAACCGACAATTCCGAAGCAGAAGCAGATGATTAAAACGCACCTATTAAAAATATTGCGCCAAGATGTAGGCAACACGTAATAAGGGTTCAAAATGGCGGAGTTTTCTATCTCCTTTTAAAAGGCACTCAGAAAGCTGCGCAGTGCGACCATTCTCCGTATAGTAAAAGAAAATCAAAGTATGTGCTTGAAATTGACAGTCTATATAGCGTCCAAATTGTCATGCCGACCGACCGTTTTTTTCACCCATGTCGGCTTAAAAATTAGGAGTAGGATTTATGTCATATAGTCATCCAGTTTAATATCAAGGTCGGTGGGATTTATTAAAGTTTTATATGTCATTTATTGTTTAGTAATTAATTAAATAAATTCATTATCGAAAAAACTTGTTGCATCCGTGGATGTACAAATACATCACTTCGGAAACGTGGATTTAATACGTTAGTAAAGAAATGCGACTCTTTGGCCCCTTAAGTGTGGCTCTTCCACAAACTACAAGGAGCAGGCTCTCACATACAACGCGATTAAAACTTCGTGGTGTATGCTTTCCATACTTAGTTGTGTTTATGTGTCTTTATTTTTAGGCGAGTACTCTCTAATGCGATTTATTTAAAAAACATTTCCAGAAAAAGATAAAACTTCAACGTGTATCGTACAAAATATTACTTTTGAGCGCGTGTCTCCGCAGAAAAGGCAGGAATTGTAGTAAAAATCTGCAGCCCTGTCGTTAGCACTTTCATCTGATTCATCCAAAACTTTTTAAAATATATTTGATTTGCCGACGAGTCAACTTTTTCATTGTAGATACAAGTAACAAGCCAGAGACATTGTGCTCAAAAAAATAAACATTTATGTATTCTAAGAAATTAAATGTTTGCACTGGTATTTTAAGGGACCACTTTATTGGTCCTTTTTAAATTCATTGTAAACTTAACGGTCAAAAATATTAAGATTTAAATCAAAATCAAATTTTTATTTTTTACATATTTCCTAATTCATCTAGAATCAGAGAATAACGTAAATATTGTATTTATTTAATTAGCGAGAACGATACCCCACAATAGTTCATGTATTACTAAATTGAAACTTTCTATAAGCTCGTGCGCTCGCAGGTCACAGGAGAGGTGGTGGTCGTTGTAGACAAAATGTAAATATGAAAGTTCACTTGAAGTACCTATAGCCTATGGCTCGTATATTTTTTTCCTAATCCGTATAAAGAGGATTAACGATAGGAGATAGACGAAACAAGTTTATAAAACGAGTGTGGATGAGAGAGTTGAAAAGGTTCTACTTCAATCAGATTGAGGACGTTTTTAGCAAAGGCCAGCTTAGGAATACCCTAATTAAGTTACCAACTGTTACGCAGCACTCTGCAGTATCCTGCGGTCGTCATAAGTAAAAATACTAGCAAAAGACGATAGAATAGTCCAGAAATGTCTGGAAATGTCATTCCACGTTAAGGAAAGGTCTAAACAGTTCGAGAAGGTTCAAGAAGCTCGAAGCAAGCTATATATAAAGGGTTCCTGACGTCAGTCAATCAGTTTTATGATATACGTTATACGTTAATACGTTATCAGTTGTATTATAATTGTAAAAGTGAGTTGAAATAAATTGAGATACCAAAAACCTGCGTAACACAACAATGACCTACCTATACAGTTTAAGTTTCAAAAAAATTTGGCTCTAAAAAGAAATTTCAGTCGTTTTATTGTTGCTATTTGCCTCTGTTGACTAATGAGTTTGCCGACCATTCGAGTAGATAGTTATGAGTAAGCTGGGAATACACTAAACCCATTTTTTTTATAAATTGGTCTATTGGCCTTTTTCCAAAACGACGATGTCCTCCGCCTTCCCACCTTTGTGTAGATCACTTCATATGTCTCATGTAGCCTTAATGCCTATTTAAGAAAACCGAAAGTTTTTTATCCGAAATTTTGTTTTTAATGGGAAAAATAAGAGGGCAGTGACGGTTCCTCAATAAGTGCAAATACACACTCTCAAATTTAATGTCTCTTTAAACAAATATTATATTCAAATTTTATCACATGAATCACTGTTTTTTGTAAAAAAAAATAAACACCATTATTGATTGTTTCTACATAGAATTAAAAATTCACATGCGTTATTATAATCCATTACAGGGATAGACAAAAAAAGTTGTTATGAATTTAATGCTGTTTTCCGCAGCTCCATTTGATGAAGCGGTAATAATAATATATAATCTTTATTTGAGGAACATACATCATACATATTGTAACGATTGTTTAATTTATTTATAGTTTATTTATTTAAAACAATTTATTTACAATTTATTTATAAAGTACTAATTAATTTATATAATACTTAGACACTTTTATAACTCACA